TCATAATAAGTTCTATTACTTAACAATGACCATTGGTATTGAATAATATCATTATATGTTACATAAATATTATTTAATTCATTAATACGTTGTTTATATGATTCTAATATTGATAATAATAATTGATTATATTCTGTTGGAATTGATTTAATAGAAAAGAATAAAGAAGTAATTTTCATAAGATATTTCTTAGATGTGTTATTCAAATTCCAAACTTTCTTTTGCATATTAATAGCACGTTCATATTCTTCTTCAAAATTTTCAGAAATGAAAAATCTTTCATAAATACGTTTTAACGTTTTTAATTGATCTTTTAAAGATATTTTAGTAAAATAACTAGTCTCCATAGATAAACAATCATATATTTTTCCAATATCTTCTTCCCATATTTCAATTTGTTTTCTTCTATCTCGTTCATAAGGCCAAAGAAATGAAACCGCTTCCATAACTTTTTTTTGTTGTTCAATAGAAAGTTCTCCAATGTTTTGACAAGACACTAATTTAGAAAACTCATCAAATTTTATTTTAAATTCTTTTGCTTCTTTATTTTCATTAATTTTATTTAAATATTTTTCTATTTTCTTTTTAAGTATATTGTCTTGTTCTGTATTTCTAGGAAGATGAAGATAAGTTCTAATTTTGTATATCATTTTATCAATTATAATCAATCTTTTTTTATTTGAATCTACTGTATTAGTATACTCTTTAAAAGCTGATTCAATTATACTCTTTTCTGGATCTTTTTTTCCAAATATTTGTTTTGTTAAGTTAGCCATATTAGTTGAATATGCTTCGTCAGTAAATTCTGATTGAAACAATTGGGTCTTGAAATATCTTAATTTTTTTTCTTCTTCACTCATAAGTGTAAGTGGTGTAGCGGTATGTGGAGGAGGTGTATTTTGGTTGTTTTGATTAAGAGTGTCCATCTCAGAACTACGTTTCCAGTTCAATTATAAAAAAGATATGACAAAAAACAAAAATTTAAATTAACAATTATATTAATTAACTTTTGTCAATAGTTTAACAATATTATTCATTCATTTTTACATATCATTATACCCACTCTCTAATTCATTTACCACAACATTAATTTCAGGTCGTTTTGTTGGTTCTTCATCCCAACACTTATTTATTATGGAATACACCCACTCTGGCATTTTATTTGGCTTTTCTAATCGTTTACCAGAACCAATAAATTGTGCTACATCCCATGGGTATTTAAACTTTTCAATTGGATATGGAGTATCCCATGTGTACGCTTCAAATAAACTAACTCCAAATGAAAAGATGTCAGATGGCAGTTTATATTTCTTTTGACCAAGAACTTCTGGTGCCATATACATTGGTGTTCCAACTCCTTTTGTGAACGTCATATTTGTCATTAGCATATTAACATTTCTTGAGGACCCAAAGTCTGTAAGTTTAGCGTTAACCAAAGTATCAGGATTAACTGATACAATAAGAATATTATCTGGTTTAATGTCTCGATGTAATACTCCATTTGAATGAAGATATTCTATTCCTTTTGCAGCATCAATCATAAACTTTATTCTTAATTTATGTCCAGGTCTTTTATCTTTGGAATAATTATGAATAGAATCTTGTAGTGATCCATATTCTGCATATTCTGTTACCATGCAATACTTATTTGGCACCATTACTGCTCCATAAAAATGAATGATATATTCACTTCTAAATTTATCTAACATTGATACTTCTTTCTCAAATTCTTCTATTGTCTCACTATCACCTGACATATTCTTCATTTGTTTAACTGCTACTTTATTTCCTCTAAACTCTCCTTTAAAAACAACACCAAATGCACCTTCTCCAAGTTTTTTATCCATTTCAAGTTCATCATAATCTAATAGAGATGTTAATTCTGTTTCAAATATTACTTGGAGTTGATATATTTTTTCTTTATTGTTTTTAACATCTGAAGAGACAATAAGAATTGGATCATCAACTTTACAAGTGCAATATGGTTTTACAAATAAATTAAATTCAACTGCATTTCCTGGTTTGATAAATGCTAGTTGTGGTTCACTTCTTATTCCATATTTACTTTCACAATCAGTTTTATTAGTAATTTGTACTTTCATTATAACTCTATTTGTATTTCCAATACATAATAATGTTTTAGTTTCTTGACCTACAGGAATCACACTATTTTCAGTAAAGTTTATTTCTTTCTTATTGACCATCAAGTAGCTTCCGTTTGATAATGGAACAAAGTGAATTGATGAATTAGACATTTTAAATGAAGTAAATTCTTTTTCTCGTTGTTTATTTGCAGTATATCTAGTAATAGAATAAATGAGAATAATAGCCATACAAAGAACGATAATTAAAATAATAATAAATCCAATAATTGGAAGAATAACAATTAAAACATTTAAATGGAATTCACAATAATCTCCAAGTTCTGTTGGTTTATAATTTAATGAACATTTAGAACATTTACCATTTGACGTTTCTATACAATTGACAATTGCTTCTAATGGTACACATTTTCCATTTTTCAATACTGTTTCGTTACCGCATAATGTACAGACTGTTGGTGACCCACATGTCACACAGTCATTTGAACATAAATAACACTCACCATTGTACAAATATGTTCCATCAAGACATTTAGAACAACCCCATGAATTTTTTGAAATACAATAAACAAGGTCATCTTGTGATAAACATTTATTTTGTGATGATGAACGATAATAATTTTCTCCACACTCAATACAATCACTTGCATCCCACTGACATGTGGTACAGTTTACTGAACATTCATGACAATTACTATTTAAGGTATAATAACCAGCATTGCAAATAGCACACTTACCTCCTGGTAATATATGTGAGCATTTAACAGAGTTATTATTATCAGTAACACATGTACTTTGATCCAAGTAATAGTCTGTTGGGCAAGAAGTACAAAAAGAAGCATTTTTAAAACATGTTAGACATGTGTTACTGCACGGTTGACAATTTCCATCAGAGTCAAGATAAAAGTGGTCAAAACAACGAGTACATCCTTTGGTAGAACTATATTCACAATTTGGTAATTCATTGACTGTACACTTTCCCATGGTTGTTAGATAATATGAATCACTACATTCAAGACAAAAGTCAGAATCTGTACATTTAATACAATTAGTTCCACAACTAGAACAAATTCCTTCTGATGTTTTGAAATATCCATCTTTACAAACAGAACATTGGTTGTTTTCATACACTTTACAATTTGGATCCACTTCACATGACCCATCTTTATTAATATAAGCATTGGGAGAAGAACAACTAGTACATGTTTTTTCAGTACATGTATTGCAATCCTTAAATTTCTTTGAACAAGCCACACATTCTCTAGAATTTAAATAATAATTAGACGTACATGAAATAATATTGTCATTTGAAACTAAATCTGCTGTTTGGTCAAGAGAACATTGTCCTGATACTGAAATATATTTTTTATCTATGTTACATATAGTACATTGGTTGGTAGTGATTTTACAACTAGAGCACTCATCGTCACATGTGGCACAATAATTGGTAGACCCAAATAACACCGATAGGTGATTAGAACATTTATAACAATGATCTTTGAAATAAAGGCAGTTTGTACTTTCAGGAGTAACAGCAGTACATACTCCATTCATTAATTTATATCCTTCATTACATTCAATGCATGTACCATCATTATCTTTACAGACAATGCAATTACTTTCAGAACACTTAGAACAAGTTCCTTGTTTCCAATAATATCCATATGAACATTCTCGACATCCAATTCCAGATATTGTTTTAACATAGTTTGTACAATGTGGAATGTCTTGAGATATATAACAAACATTGTTAATAAGAACAGATCCTTCTTTACATTTCTGACAGAGAACAGATCCTTCTTTGAACAAATAGTAATCACATAATGAAGTAGTTTCTCCTAAAATCAAATCATAGCTTTTACTTGTTGATTTTAGTAGTGCATTTGTATTAATTGTCATTGGTTTTACTTGTGAGTGAAGAATAAATCCATCTTCTAATGAAGTGATTGTTAGTATAATAGAAGAAATATCAGAGGAGCTTATTGAGATTACTGAACTATTTCCTGAGAGTGTCAGCGAAGATAAACTTGTTTGAAGAGTGAATACAACATTGTTTATTGATGTTAGTGCAGTGTTACTTTCTAGTATTAGTGTAGTTGGTTGGAGTCCAGAAGGATATTGGTAAGTAGGTTGAGATGAAAATAGTGATATTTCACAATTTGATTTTGTGGATGAACATGGACATGAGTAGTCAATGTAGCCATTGTAAGTATAAAGTGAATCAGTTAGTTTACACTTTCTGTCATATAGCCCAAGTTTTTTACATGTTGTAATTTCATCAGAATAACTTCCCGAAAGGACAGCAACTCCATCACATTGTTTATCAACATTAACTCTTCGAAGTCTAGTATAGAATAAGACCATTGGGTTAGTAATACTAGAACTATAATCTGTTGCAAGATTAACTGTGAGTTGGTTTGTTGAAGGAGATAATGTGAATATTTCTCCAGATGTTTTTTTTGTTATAATCTTATTGAGAGTGAGTGTTGTGACATCACTTCCAATTATGAGATTTGATGAAGATCCTGAAGTAACTGTATCAAGAGTGATTGTTGTTGATGTAAATTCAACTGTCCCATAAGACTCAAGAGAAATTGATGACTTACTTTCCATTCCTATTTTAATACTTATTGCTGATGGACAATAGACTGAGTATAGATATGTTCCTGTAGATGACTTAATTTCACTTTCACTTTTATATAACTTGATTAAAACTCCATTTGTTGTTGGATTTATTGAGTCAATTATCACTTTAGAATTGAACTGTAATGTCACAGCATCTGTACTAATAGAATTTATTTTAGCTTCTGATGTCAATGAAATTCCTGATCCCTCATTGAATATAAGTATGTCTTTACTTGTTATAGAATTGAATATTGTTGTTCCATATGTCATAGAATTGACAACAACTTCATTTGGGTTAATGATTTGAATTACATTTGTTGTTTTAGAATATATGGAAGAAATTGAATGAGCATATACGCTGATTTGATTATTTTCTGAATTAACACTAATTTTATTTACATTAATCAAGTTAGACAAAAGACCAAGTGAAATAGTATTACTTTTTCCATCAATAGTTAATGACTGCAAACTAGCTGTTTCTGTAGATAAAACATTAATAATTTTTGAGTCTGATGTAATCATTAAGGCAGTGATAGTCTTTAGATTAGTTATTTCTTTTGTAAGAGAAGTACCTCCAATAACAAAGTTGTTTTCCATTAGTTTTAATTTTAAATCAATAGATGGTGTTGTTGGATATATATAACAGTTTGATGATTCACATGGACAATATTCTTTGTCAAATGAAGAAGATGTTGTATAATCAGCTCCTGTCATAGAACACTCAACAATGTCTTCAATATTAGAAGTAGGACAATATCTTAATAGTTTGTTGTTTGATAATAAAGTACATCCTTCTACTGATTTATACTTTTCTGAGTTGAATGAGGCTGTGGATGATGCGATATCTGAACACACATTTCCAGAAACTGTTTCAATTGATAAATACTCTGGAGAACTAACACTGATAATAGCACCACTATTAATATACTTTTCAGATGGGATATTGTATGTTCCAATACTGAGCAGTGCAGAAACTTTTATTTTTGTTGTTTTTGAAACAGTCATTACTTTACAGTACAAAGAAGAATCAATAATAACACTCGTTAATGATGAAAAATCACAACCTTGGATAGTTAACGTCTCAGAACCACTCAGTGAAAATGTTGAAGTAGATATAATACTGGAATAATATTCTTTTCTTGATACTTGATAAGCTGAAGTAACTAAAGAAAAGTATGATGCTTCGTATATATTTAATAAATTACAGTCTCTTTGTTTGAAAGACCCTTCAGAATATTCACAATTACATTTTGGGTCTGTTCCAGTGTAAAATCTACTTGATCCACTGATCTTTCCATCACAACTTTTTGATAATGAACCAACATTACTTGATGATGAAATTAATACAACGTCATTTGTAATATCAGTGTTTACGGTTGTCACTGTCAATTCTCCAAAAAACACTATCCCATTGTTTTTGTTACTTGTGAGTGTTGTGACTTCTACTGGTGTTTTAATTGTTCCTGAACATGTTACCGTCATAAAATTAGCCTTTAATTTCTGTTTTCCTGAAATGTCAAATACCGTTTGTGTTACCAACGAATTCCATGTTCGAGGAGCAGTGATTTCACGTGTTGTGGGTAGTATTAAATTTCTATACTCAGAGTCTTTTTCACAATCAACTTCAGTGTAATAATCACCTGGAACATTCTCTTTGAAATGGCAGTCGCACATTACTGCTTCATCAGAACCTTCTTTAGCATATCGCTTATAAGAACCTCCACTACAATATCCTGTTAAACCAGCAGCAATAACACTGTCACTATTACTTATAAATAATAACTGGTTAATTGGGACATCACCTTCTACAGTAACACTACTAATAGTGATTGTTCCCGATCCAACTTTGTTGAGTAAAATCTGTGGACAATTTGGTGGAATAGTTAAGTTTATAGTTAATTTGCCACTAACTTCAAAATGAACACCATTTTCTTTAACTCTCATATCTTCTAATATTACTGTTGATGATTCAGGAATAGTGACAGTTGGTAATTGATTTTCTTTACATCCTTTAAAGGCATACCCTCCATAATGCTCGTTTGTAGATGTTGTATAATCACAATCAACAACAACTTGGAAATACTGTAAAAATTCTGCACAATCATCTTTATCCCATTTCCCATCAACCATTGCACATGTACAATCTTCTTGAACCTCGTTATTATCCCCACCGTTGTATCCAAATCTTTTAGCTCCATTCTTTAATGTGCACATAACTTGGTTTGGATAATTTGGTCTCATAATTACATCTGAATCTGTTGTTGTCAAGACATGACCTATATGGTTTGATTGATAACTTGAAACAATAAACAATTTAATCTTCCCTGAAACACGTGCTTTGCTGTAGTCCCAATAATCAAACCCAAGTGTGATATAGTTAGAATTTTTATTGACAAAAGTTCCTTCTCCATGAGGAGCAAAAATAAATGGTTTAGAATCAGATATCTCAAATTCAGGATAAAAATAAAAGTTCAGTGGATTCTTTAAACCATCATTATTATACAATGCCCATTGACAATTACTAGATTTAAGATAGAAATTCACTGTTGTTGTAATGATCTCTTTATTATCGTATATAAGTAAAAGCCTTTCATTTGATGAATCATAAATATTGAGTGTTGGTGTTTTTGATCCTGATTTCAATACAATTCGTATCCAACTAAATCCTTTATAATCTTCAATACCATTTTGTTCAAGAGCTACATCTCCACTACCTTGACTTGGTGTTAAACATGAATCTTTATTATGTATTGTGACTACACCATCTTTATAACATTGGGCAAGAGTTAAGTGTATGCATAGTACTAAGAGAAGCATAACTGGATTCATTATTTTGAGTTATATTTAGTTTCTTTTTCCATAGAATTTTTTGATTCGATGATTCAAAATAAAATATTATAATTTTATCATAAAATATATTATTTTTATTATACGAATTGTAAAGTTAATAATGTATTCTTTAAATAGGAAAAATTAAAAATAGAATTAAAATCCTAAAATTTATAAATAGATTATGTTATTATAATTTTTGTTTTTCTCTTAAATTAATGTTTCCTTTTTAATTTTTCAATTTTTATAGAGAAGAACTAAAAAAGTATTGGTAATGAGTATCAGTCGGGTTCGAGTTGTCGATCCATTATCTACACCACCTCCTACAACAAAACCAGTTAAAAGTACAACAAAAAAAGAAAAAGTAAGAGAACCTCCACCAGTTTCAATTTCAATAATAAGTGCTGTCAATGGAGAGTCTGTTGATTCAATTATATCAGGGAATTCATTCCACTTTTTATTAGAAGGATTAACACACGAAGTATTTTCAGTTCAACCTGATGGGAGTTCACAAACACTAAACACAGAAAAGTCAGATACTATCGAAATATTTGGAAGGGGTGGGGCTGTAGTTCACATTACATGTGATTGCAGAGAGGTTATTATTCAATATCAATCGAAATATGCATCAGTGATTGTAAGTCCAACAACTACTGTCTCAGAAGTAATTCGAAGTATTGAACATAGTCTAGGACTAAAAGGTCATCACACATTATATTTGAATGAAGGAAGAAGAAAAAGAATTCCATTGAGAAAAAATACCCTAATTTGGGGATTAAAGAATGATTTTACTTTAAAAGATATTAATGTTATTATTGGAGAAGAGGATTTAATTCCATTGCAACCACCGTTTGTTACAAGTGATGTGTTATGTATTGCAGAATTTCAAAATATACCACCATTTGAGACAATTGTAGAGTCTACATGGAACCACGAAGAATTGATTAAATTTTTATTAGAGTCTATTGGGATTGATTCAGAAGTTTGGAAAGAATATGATTTAGTTTTAAAGAAAGGATATAAGGCAATTAGATTTGAAGGTATTGTAGGACAATGGGCTAAAGAAGGTGCAATAGTAGTTGAAGTCAACAAAAAACCAGATTGTCATGTTATAGTTGTTGGAGATTATGATGATAAACCACATAAATGTCTTAGAACTGTTGAGTTTTATAGACAAGCACCAACAGAAGATGATTGTTGGGCTTATGCAAGTAGAATGAGTTTCACAGTAGCAACAAGTAATCTGACATTAGTCACTAATGTAGCACAAAAGTTCCAAGCTACTAATACTTATATATTCACTATTGAAGAGAATGGAATTACTAATTTTGCTGATGCACAAAGTGTTGTTGGAAATGCTAAAAAAATTATCTTTGTAAAATCAGAAGAACCACCTGGAATTTCTTTTTGTAGAGCACTAGAAGTACTTGATCCATTTGAATCTGTGGTATATTCTGAAGGAGATCTTTTAGTAACTAAGTATAGAACTATTTTAGTATCTTCATCAGTAGTCAGTGTTCCTCATGCATCAGTTGCTATATTACAAATATTTATTATTGATGATAAACGAGATGCTTTATTGTTAATTGCTAAAGATTTACAACGTATAATAATTACTGGAGAATCTAACAAAATCAGAAAATTATTAAAAATTTATTATTCTGAGGATAATAGATTGTTATTCCCAAGAAATGTTTCAGAAACGTATGCCTTCAGATCAAGTGGAACAACTTCAACTGAAAGTGAATGGAGAGCATTATCATTTACTAAAGAATTCTCTCGTTTAGGAATTACTTCATCAAATGGATTTAAAGTTATAGACAATAGAGACGGTCATATAAGTGTTACATATCCACCTATGGTTGCTGTTCCTGATGGTGTTGATATTTCTTCTATTCTTACATTTAGGTCCAAAGGAAGAATACCTGCTATTTGTTGGAGAGGAGCTGGAAACCAAACAATATCAAGATCGGCACAGCCATTACCTGGAGCATTAGGAAGAGCTCGATGTGAGGCTGATGAGTTATTACTAAAGACTTTAGTGACACTAACAAAAGGAGGAGAAATATTATCAATATTTGATGCTCGACCTCCATTAAATGCCCAAGCAAATAGATTACAAGGAGGAGGAGTTGAGTCTAATACATATTATCCATTTTGTGAATTTCAATATCTTTCTATTGAGAATATTCATGAAGTAAGAAATGCATATTACAAAATGTTAAAAGCAATTCTTATGATGCCACATAATTCATATGAATATAAGAATGTAATAGAAGGATGTAAATGGTATCAATTTTTACATTCCATTCTTGTTGGTGCAGTATTAATTGTAAATAAAATTAAAGAAGGAAATTCTGTGTTAGTCCATTGTTCTGATGGATGGGATAGAACAAGCCAATTAACATCTCTTGCAATGATTATACTTGACCCTTACTATAGAACAATCGAAGGGTTGTTAACTCTTATTGAGAAAGAATGGATTACTTTTGGTCATAGATTTAAACAAAGAAGTGGATTAGGGTGTAGATATGATATTGATGTTACACCAATAGTTCAAACTTTATTTAGAGATGTTAAACCAAAAGATTTCCAGAAACAAGAACAGAACGATAATGAGTCATCTCCTATTTATGGACAATGGATTGAGTGTGTTGAAATTATTAGAAAACAACAACCAGATGCTTTTGAATACAATGGAGATTTACTAATCTTTTTATTAGATAGTTTGTATAATTGTCAATTTGCAAATTATTTAGAATATCCAAATACTTGTTCTTGTAATATCTCTAATCTTCTTTCAATGGTTCCTTATGTTTATTCTCATAGAATTAAATTTACTAATACATCTTTTAAAGCTGTAGCAGATGATCTAAAAGTTTCTTTGAATCCATTACAATTTAAGTTATGGAAAGAGTATTATTTAAGATATGATAAACCTGTGGTATTAAATATTTGAATTAACTAAATAAATCTACATTTATTTACTTTTTTTTAATTTCCTCATAAACACAATATAAATATTTTCTTCTAAATTTTGATTTTTTATGTGTTACTTTTTTTCTTCTTTGTTTTGATTGAATATCTTAATTTTTCTTTATAAGTTTATTTTAAATATTCAATTCAATATTATTTTTTTTTCGTATAAATAAATGTCACAATATTCATAGTAAATGAATTGAAACGAGTATCAACAAAATTCAAGGGTTTTACTTTTTAATTTAAACAAAAGAATAAACCAATTTATTCTTATTTATAAAACACCCCCTATTTTAAAGTAATTATTAAAATATGTTACTACCTATATATCTTATGTAAATTGAATTATGTCTTATAATATTAAGTAATAATTATTTAACTTTGCTCATTATTGAATTCTTAAACTCTTTTGTAATAAACACTCATTCAAATTTATTGTATTAAAGAATCTATCAGTGATCTTCTTTCAAGGAAGGAGTTGTTTAGTGAAACATTTTTGTCATTTATTTTTAAATCTAAATATGTTTTATATAACCTTTTTGCATATTAAAAAAATTGAAAAAGGTAAAAATAATAATATCAACTTAAAAATAAATAAAAGATCTTTTAACAATCATTGTGAAATGCTTTCTCAAACAACTAGAGCTACTAATTTATTAGAACAACCACTTAATACTGATTTATTAAATTTTTTGGCACTTGACATTCAAATAGAAGTTATTCGATTAATTACATTAAATGTTACCCAAAGAATAGGGGAGATTGGAAATTTTCTTATCACCGATGATCATTGTAAATGGTTAATGGAAACTATTGGAAAAGGGTTTTCATTACCTCTTTCAGAAATTGATACTATTTCAAATTGTCTTTCAATATATGAAAGTTGGTTTTTAGAAGAAGTTGGAACTCCAAGACCAATTAATGATAATCTTGTTGGGTACAGTGATGTTGTTATTGGTCAAGTTTCATTATTATTCAGCCAAAGACAAGAACAAATTCATCCACAAACTATGATTAATTATGCTGAATTATGTTTAAAAGCAGTTAACTTATTAAAACAACTATCTTATAAATTAAATAATACTGAAACTTTAAGAAGAACTGTTTGTGTTTTAATTGCATCTATTGATGATATATGTGGTCCAATTGATAATCTTACAACAACACCTCCTATGACTAAAGTAATTGATGAATCTATATCACTATTATATCAACTTTGGTTACAGTTAATGCCATCTGATAATTTAATTTGGGGAGTATTTTCATTGTTTCATAAAAAGTGGATAAGAATTTCAGAAGTAGCAACAAATTGGTGTAGGTATTGTTGTTCAATTGAAAGTTCTTTATTAAAATGGCTTTTTAATCCATTAAGTGATGGAAGCATTCATATAGTATTTAAATTAAATGATTCTACAATAGAAACTGATTGTAAAGAAGGTTATGGTCTTAAATTTTGGTTAAGAATTCTTCATTGTTGTGGTAATCCAACATCAATTTCTGATAATAAAGTATTTGCTATAGTTCAACAAGGACTTAATGATATGATAATGGAATTAATTGGATTTACTAGTACAACTTCACTCCCTAATGGAAATGATATGTTTAACATATTTATTGATACTTTATATCATCCTATTCGATACATGGATCATAATAATTATTCTGATGGAATTACTATTGCTATAAAATCTACTATTCTAATGTTTAAAAAGATGTCATCTATTACTGTTTACCATACTCAACATTACTGTAAAATATTAAAAATTATTGAAACTTGTTTATTGAGTCCAGCACTTATTGTAGTTGAGTATACAGTTCAATTATTGTTAGGAATTTTTAATGAAAAGAATCAGTCAATGGTATTATTATTACCAGCAATAGTATCAGCAACATCCAAAGTTATTTCACAATCAAATCATATATTTAAATTAAGTGCTATTAAATTAATAGCAGAACTTCAATTATCAATTGGAAAAGAACGTTCTAATATAGTTATTCCATCAATAAATAAATTCCAAGAAAATGAAAATTCAATTACCTATGGCAGTATTAAAAAAGAATTATTTTCTATTGCATTATCTGCTTTTGAAAAAGAAACAACTAAAGGAGAAAATTTGTTAGAAAATATTAAGGTAATTGGGAAATTCATTATTGATGCAGCAAATGAAAGTTCTATTGAAGAAGTAATAAATAAAACAATTTCATTCTTTATAAAATGTAATGAACAATTAAAAATATTATTAAATACATCATCCATGGATATCATTGATTTTATTGAAATTATTATTGAATATTCTTCATTAATAGAAAATCAAGCAAATGACTTAATTCCTTTATTTGAATTTTTGTTAATGTTTATTGAAAATAATATATCAGGAACATCTTGGAAAAATCTTCATCAACTTGTTGGAACATTTGCTAAATTATATTGTATTTGCTTTGAGGTTATACCATCAAGTATGTTTACTCGTTGTAATATAATGTTTAATCGATGGTGTCAATCAATCCCACCAAATAGAACAGAAGATGGAAATACTATCTTTGATGTAAGGTTATTAAATAGTTTCAAACAATATGTACTTCCTTTTGTTCCATTAAAAACAACTATTGATGAATTACAAATGAAACAAATATTTACAAATAAAGGTATTAATCATTTTGATGAATATACCCATTTATATTACAAGGATGATTCTATTCTCTCTTTTATTGAACTTCCTTGGATGAGAACTTCTGAAACAAAATCTTTACTTCTTATTTGTAGAAATTACTATGGAAAACAATGTTACTTATTAAATATGCTCTTAGAAACAAAAGAATGGACATTATTATTAGATAGTTCTACTCCTTCACCATACGAACCAATTATTCCTTCGATTGAACAAGCATCTTGGAATAAAAATTGTTCAGAAAATATAGAGCCTTTATTAGCTGAATTAAAGAAAGATGTTGAAAGTCGAATAGATGGTGATTCTAGATTAACAATACCATCAACTATCACAGAAGAATATCTCAATAACCAAAATATTTTAAGCCCATCATGTTTATGTCGTATATTATTAAAAACACTTGGAATTACTTCATTTGAAAATAAATATCAAACACTATTACCAACAGATGAAGTATTAGCTATTACTAAAAAGATAGACTCTATTTCAACTAAAAATAGTGTATATGTAGATATAATAAATTCTAATACATCTTCTCATGAATTTATTACTTTCATAAATGGTCTTGGTAATGTCTTTGAAAAGCAAACAGGAGAACAAGAATTAAAATACACCGATGATCAATATATCATTTATTTTGGAAATAATGTTCTCTCCAAATCTTCTTATCCAAATACATCACCAATTCAAATAAGATGGAACACTCCACTTGACACTGAATCAACAAATCTTCAAATTTCAATCACACCAACAAATAGTGATTTATATTTAATAGAATCAACTACCCCTCTTTTTACATTAGAAAAAAAACAATTAATAAACTTTTCTTGTTTATCTAACATTGTTAGAGAAGCTATTCTATCATATTCAAGAAGAACTACAAAACTTTTAGCTCCATTATTAACAAGAAAAGAGTCTTTTGATGAAATACTAAATCTCAAAACAGACACTCTTCCATTCCTTGATTGTCTTTTTAATAAGAGCCAAATCATTGCTATTAAAGATCTTGGATTTAAATCTATTGATAAGTTCTCTAACATAACTCCTTTTGATAAAACTTATTCATCTCAACCCTCAGTTAAAACTTCATCAACAACAATTCAACTTGCACAATTACCACCAGCTTCTACTCCTGTTAAAACAATAGAACCGTCATTATCAAAATCTTCTTTAGATACTGAAAATGGACCATCAACCCCTACAAAAACTCATAAAGGTTTATTCTCAAGAAAGAGTGCATTGAGTTTTAGTGATAAGAAAGAAAATGATAAAGAGAAAAAAGATTCTAATACAAGACAAACTGTTTCTGGAAAACCAAATGACGGAACCCCAAGAGAAGGAGATAAGAAACCAAGATTTTCTCTGTTCAAGAAAACAAAGAAATAACTTGAATGAATTTCTTTTATTTTTTTTTTTTGATTTAGTAATGATTAGTTAGTTCAATTAATATTTATGTGGACAGTCAAATGTTTTATGACCATATTCTCTACAATAATCGCAATAATATCTACAATTTATTGGTACTCTTAGTTTTTGAAATTTTTGGATTGGTAATTGTCTATGATGTTCATATTTTTGTTGATTTATTGTTTTCTTACTGTGACAATTAATTCTAAATGTTTGTTTTCCTCGTGTTGTCTCAATTTCTTTTATAATATCTTCTTTAAATTTTGGTTCATTCTTACACTCTTTAGGAAAATGCCCAAATTCACCACATCGTTTACATCGTCTTTTAAATAGTTCTCTATCCTTCAACCGTTTTTGGTAAAGTTTTTTATAGTATAACCACTCTTCTCTATTTGTTGTGTCTGTATCTTCTTTACTTTGAGACTTTGTCTTGTCACAATTATTATTTGAAATAAAATGGTCTGGTGATTCTTTTTCTTTAGTTTCTATATGAATAAAGTTATTACCTTCTAAATGGTTTATCAATTCTATAGATTTAAATTGAGGACAAACCTCCAAAGTTTCTATTTCAATTGAAGATTCAATACTGTTCATAAAGAAAGAGAATTATAAATGAAAAAGAAGTTATTTTTTCATATAGAAAATAAAACAATTAATAATAGTTAATTAAACTATAATATTAATAAAACTAAAAACTAAATAATTTATTTATAAGTGCTGAATGGCTGGTTTATCTAGTTTTATCTATGGAGGTGATGAAAGTGTTGATCCTTTTGGTTCCAATAATTCAACGACTGACCCTTTTGGTGCTTCTTTGAACAGTGTTGATCCGTTTGCTATTCCTGTTCCATCACAACCTAATGTCCAGTCATTTGATCCATTCGCTAACTCAAATAATACGAATGACTCTATACCACCACCAGTATCTTTCCAATTACAACCATCTTCTATACCGCCAGTAGCAATACCAACAATATCTAGTGAAACATCAGATAAAGATGATAAAAAAGATATTAATGAAGATTCTCCTGTTGAAGAAGACGAATTAAAAACAGAATTTAATATTGAACCTAAGAAATCACCAAGAATCGCTATTGACATTGAAGAAAATAAACCAAATCAAAAAGAAGAAACAACTGAAGAACAACCCCAACAAACAAAAGAACAAAATCAAGATGTTATGATTACAGAAGTTGAAGATCAAGCAAATCAAAAAGTGATTAATTATTTTCAAAAAGCATTTTCAACAACATTTGTCCCTCAGTTAAAAGAAACAGAAACAGAAGTAAATGAACTTATTCAAATTCAAGGATTGTTAGATAATCAATTAAAAGTATTATATGACAAACTTAAAGAAATGGAACGTATTCTCTCACCACCATCATATATCGAGGATTTAAATAGAATTATAAAAATTCAAAAAAGAATTGATAGAGTTAATGCAGTATTAACTCAAATAGAGACAAGAATTACAGTGTTAATGAGTTCAAGAATCTATATGAAATGTTTGTTATTTTTGTTTTAGAAATATAAAAGAATTTATTGATAATAAACTTATATGTAGATAGTTCACAAATAACAATTACTAACTAATCATTTATTCTCTCTCTCTCAATTTCTTTTAATTTAATTCTTAATTAATTAAATTTGTTCATTTAAACCATGGATGTTCTAAACACATCTTTGCAGTAAATCGTTTATCTTCATCATAAATAAGCATTCCTTCAATCAATGATGCAATAGGTTCAGCAATTTCTGGTGAAAATTTATATTTTTCAATAAGAACGTCTTTAGTTTTCCATAAATGTAATTCATTATTAGGAATATGTTTTAATTCATAATTTCTTGTAAAATATTTTGGAGTTTGTGGCGCTATATTTAAGTATTTTTTATTGAAATAACCAAGTAATTCAATAAATTGAGCTAAATGGTCTTCTTCTAAAGTAAATGTTTTTCCTTGTTTTGGTTTAAATAAATAATCTCCTGTTAACATTTCAAAAATCATACATCCATGTGACCATATATCAACTGGACATCCCCAGTGAAGTCCTAAAATAACTTCTGGGCTCCTATATTCTAATGTTTGAATATCATCAGTAAATCGTTTATTAATCCAATTTGCATTACCAAAATCAGCAAGTTTAGTTTCAATAATTTTAGGAATTGGTTCTTTTTTATTTTTTGGAATAGTAAATGAAAGAAGAACATTTTCTGGTTTTAAGTCAGTATGAATAATTCCACATTTTGTATGAATAAAATCTAATGCCTTTAATATTTGTTTTGCAATTTCTTTACAGTCATTAATTGGAATACCTTTATAATCATAATATTTTATTAAATCTAATAGATTTGATCCTCCCAATTCCATTACCATACAAATGTGTTGTCCATTTGGTCCATTATGTTTAAAATCTTCTAAAATATGTATTACATTTTCTTTTCTTTCTGGATCACATTCATTTATCTTCTTCATTACTTTAATTTCATCTAATGCAGTTTCTGTATATGTTTTTGCACTTTTAACTATTTTTAATGCTCCTTGAACTTTATTTTCTTTATGTTCTACTAACCATACAGTTGAAAAATGTCCAAATCCAAGTTTCTTTTGAATGATATAACCGTTATAGTCTTCTCCAATAACTACAGGATGATATCCACCAAGTCTATAATATTTTGGTTTTTCGACATATTCTCCATCAGAGTTTTCATAACCATCTGAAGATGAATCAGATTCTTCTTTAGGTTTACTTATTGGTTTAGGAGCAATTTTAGCTAATCCTACTTTTTTTGGGTTCTTTTTAATAAAAGGCATATATAACTGAGAAGAATCAGTTCTCTTCTTATAATTCTAATTTCATTCTTTCTTTTAAAACCCTTTTTCTTAATTACAAAAACATTATTAAAAAAATTTTCAAAATAAAATTTCAACGCCTTAAAAGTCGATTAGAAGAGATCTCCAAATCCTCCGAAGTCTTCTTCGGCTTCTTCTTCTTCTTTTTTATCTTCTTTCTTTTCTTCTGTAGCTTCATTTTCAGCAGTTGGAGCAGCACCGGCAGCTGGGGCTGCAGCGACTGGAGCAGATCCTGCGTCCATAATTAAATCTTCAATATTGGCATTAGCAAGAGCCTTAGCCATGATAATTGGCCAGAAACCTTCAACCTTAATATTAGAATGGTGAAGAACGGTATTAATATGTTCAGCAGTAATTTCTTTACCAGCTTCATGGATAAGAAGAGCAGCAAGGGCAACGGCGAGTTCTTGATGTTGATGAGCAGCTTCCATTTTGGTTGAAAGTGAATAGTAAAAGAGTTCAAGTTTTGAAAAGTAGGTTTAGTTAATAACTATAAACAATAGTAAATTTATTAAAAAAAAATATTTGAAATAAAAGAATTTTTAGTAAATTAAAAAAGAATTAAAAAAAAAAAGGGAATGAAAGAATTAAAAATGAATTATACAAACGAATAGATTGTTAAGTCTTCAAATGCATTATTTATCCAGTTCATTGTTCTTTCTGGTAACAAAAAGAATTTTGAAAGAAGGAATTTATTTAATTCTTTCTTTAAAATAATAACCGAATTTTTATCTATAAGCCATAAAGAATGAATATTATTTTTACGAAGTAATTCTATGTGTTTCAAAACAAGATAAAATGGAGATTCATTCTTTTTATGAAGAATATTTGTTTTTAAAAATACACCATCATATTGTAAATAAACACATGATTTTAATAATGAAGTAACTGCAATACAACTCTTTGATTCACTAAAAGAAGTTTGAATACTTTGAATATCGAATTCTTTATAAAAACTATAAGGGAGACTTTTGTTTGAAGTACAAATTACAACAAAAACAGTTTTTATTGTTGATTTAACATTAATAAAAATATCAATATACCAAATAGTATTATTTATTAAAGGATAAATTGGAATTAAATGGTTTGAGTATAACCATTTATTAAGTTTCATTGAAGGTAAAGAACTAGTTAAAGGGGCATAAACATTAATAAGATGATAAAATGGTAATATCTGTGATTGATCTAATTCATTAAAGAGAATTAAATTGTTTTTAATAATAAAACACGTTTTAAAGGTTGGATATTTTGAACGAAGTAAATTCATTTTACTTTTTAAAGAAATAAAAGAAGAAGAAGAAATATTTCCATTTCTAAGTTGATATAAATATTCAAATATTTTATTAAAACTAAATGTAGTAAACATATTATTAAAATACATTTCAAATAATTCATTTGTAATTGATTTGTTAAGTTCATTTCCATTAAGAGCCTTAAAAGTTATTGAATAAATATTTGATTTACATAACGTAAAGAAAAACAAACAAGAAATGTATCAACAATTGTTTTGAGATATTCAGAACAATAATAATTCATATTTTCTTTTTCTCTTAAAATTCTTAAAAGAAAAAAATAATGTGGTATTGGAGAATAAATAAAAGTAACGTAATTCTTTGTTTTTAATATTTGAATATTACCACAAAATTTATTAACAAGTGTTATATAAGAAAGTAAATGACTTATAGTAATGACTAATTGATCAAATTCAATTCTTGTTAAATAAAACAACAATCGTTCATCTTGGTGTTCAGATCTATTTCCTAGTCTATCATCGATAACAGCAAAAAACTGAACACTTTCTAATGTACAAGTCTGAGACATAATAATTAAGAGTTTAAAAAAAGTTTTTTAATAAAAAAAAATTAATAATTAATTTAATCGAGATCTTATTGATGGAATGGATGAAACTATATTGAATAACTCATCTATTTTTTTTGTTAGTATTGGCTGTTCATGTAATTTCTTAAATTGAGTTATAAACGAATTAATTTTTTCTGGAGAGTTTGAAAGAAAGATAAGAATACTTTTAACATGACACAGTTTAATCAAAATTTCTATTGATAACAGTTGAACTGAAGAATTACCAAATTCACTCCAAATCATTAACAATGGAAATATCTGATTAGACATAGAAAATAAAGCAGATTCTTCGTCATAAATTAGATTATCATAAATATGAAGAACGGCTTGAGTTGTCACCATTGGTACTTCATTACAAAAACCAACAGGAATAAGGAGTGATAAAATATTTATAGAAAATAATAGATTTCGGAAGGTTGTTTCAGAAATAGTATCAAATAATTCTATAATTTTAACCAATATTTGAGATGGTTTTACTTTTGGTAGAATTTCGTTTGTATATATCTTAATAACTTGATCAATAAAATGAATTTCAAATAAATAAACAGTGTAATCACTTTTTATCGAAATTAAATGAATAGCCTCTAATAATTTTTCTTCAGAAATATTATTTACCAAGGTGTCAGCAGTCATTTTTTCTTCATTAGTAAGTTGGTAAGGTGGTAATTTAATTTTTTTTTCATGACAATGAGAATGATGTTCCATTTTGCTTTTCATGTGAGATTAATATCCGCATTAGTAAAAATAGAATATAAGAAAAATAAAAAAAACTAGAAAATCGAAAGAAAACTCAAAAAGAAACGTGAAACTTTAAAAGTCTAAAATAAGTTTAAGTTGAACTATATAATGAAAACTGCAATCTAATCAAATAAATATTTAATGTCCCAACCACAATGGGTTCTTACCCAAAAGAAAACATTTACTAAATGGGCAAATGTCCAATTAAGTGGAGCATATGTTATAAATGATGTTGAGACAGATTTAAATGATGGATTAATCTTAATATCATTATTTGAAGCTTTAAGAAAACAAAAAGTACAATTCAGATATAACAAGAAACCAAAGATGAGAGTAGCTAAATTAGAAAATACAGAACAAGCATTAAATTTCATTAAAGCTGACGGAGTTAAATTAGTTAATATTGATGCTCAAAATATTGTTGATGGAAATTTGACACTTATTCTTGGACTTCTTTGGACACTTATTCTTAAATACCAAATTGCTCAAAATAAAATGGATGCATCAAAGAATGCATTACTTGAATGGGTTAACTCTAAATTAACATCAAGAAAAATTAAAAACTTTTCAAATGATTGGAATACAGGGGATGTATTAAATGAATTAATTCATGCTCTTGAACCAGATTTTATTGATTTGGCTGATTCAGCTTCAAAAGGAGAAGGAGAAGAAAGAATTCAATATGGATTAAGTATTGCAGAAGATAAAATGGAAATTCCAGCTATTATTGCAGCAGAAGATATGGCACTTCCAGAACCTGATGAATTATCTGTTATGGCATATGTTTCTTATTTCAGACATTATGAAGCTGAAAAAGAAAAGAGATTAGGAGAGGCTGAAAGACTTGCACGTGAAGCAGAATTAATGAGAACACCAGATCCATCAAAATGTGTTATGTCAGGACCTGGACTTAAAACAGGAGAAGTTCTTGTACCACAAGAATTTACTGTTACAGCTAAGAATTGTAAAGGAGATCAAATTACACAAGGAGGAGTTACTTGGAATGCACATGTTTTTGATCCTGAAGGAAATGAAATTCCAATTGAACAAAAGATAATGGGGATGGAACATATGATATGACATATGTTCCACAAGTACCAGGAAAACATAAAGTTGAGTTGCATATGAGAT